AGACACCTGTCTTTCAAACCAAGACACCTAAATAACATAAGGATGACATAAAGCTAAAAGGAACACACCCTGATGGGGACTTGGAGGGATATGTGAATCGGGGACAGGAAATTGGCAGAAAAACCTGTGTACTTCTAGGGAGTGGTCAGTGCAGTCTGTGGCAGAGGATGGTTTAGGCTGTTGGTGCTCTGTAGCTTTCACTTCTCTGGCCCGTTGGGTTGGCAGCAAGGGACTGAAAGCTTCAGAGTGTTTTTGTCTTTTTCATCAGTAGAGTTTCTATTTTCTTTTAGAATATGGGAGAAACAGGTTGAAAAGGTACTGTAAAGGAAGGCCTTTATGTTCTTACAGATCGCTGATGAGTTGATACATAGCACCTTGAACTGTCAATGTAAACAAAGGTTTGACCACAGTATGCACTCTGCTTGAAATAACCTTGATGAGCCATCAGAAATGGTAGATCAATATGCCTCACAATCCATTTGAAAGTACCAGGAAGGAATACGAATACAACTTTTTACTGCAAGCTTTAGGTATAATTGCTTTGCTTAATAAGTTAATATAAAAACCTGGATGCCGCTCTACTTTTAGGTTGTTGTTCATCTGTAGTTCAGATGCCCTTTGACCTTTAAGGCTTACTTGGAAGTCATTAAATATCTGAAAATAAAATCTTCCTTTTACTTATGTTGCTAGTGGTTCAAGTGTTTGTGGGGAAGAGAAGGAAATAAGGTTACTGCTTACTGTGATGCTTTCTGTTTTAAGATTATGCTTTTACTGAAAAAATGTTTCAGCTGTGCAGGATATCAAATGTATAAAGTTTTGCTTTTTACATCAGTGACTGCTTTTTACATCAGTGACTGCTATGTATAACACCATGTTGAGAAGGGTCTTCACTTACTAGGTGAATTATAGGTAGGCTTGTGTTCCAAAACTTAAACAATTAGACAGGTTCAGATTTTTTCTATGCAGTCACTTAAGCCTTCTGTCATATGCTTATCTCTTAGTAGTCAGAGAGAATAGAAGAATGTGTGTGTTAAGAAAAGGACTTGTGAAAGCCGAAATGTTGTTCTACTACAGTTTTAAGGCTGTTGCTTTTGCAGCTGCTCTAAAATATTCTTAATTTTAGGAAGCATCAGAGAGGTCACTGCCTGGCTGCTGGGTTAAGCATCCCCTTCTCTTATGGAAGCAGAGCTTACAGTATGATTAGTAAGAGGGAGAAAAAGCATCTGAAATCACCACTTGTGTTGGGGTTTTTTGGGGTGTGGAGAGTTGTTCAGGTGTGTTGTGTGTGTGCTTTAGTTTTCATACACTTGTAGACGGGGGCTTAAGAAAAGGTCAACCAATGACAGTGGATTTCAGAAACACTGCTGAGAGGTTAATTTGACTATTGCAGTATTATTTGTATGAATCTCACGTATTTGGGATCTGAACCTTTACTCTTCTCTCTTTCAGCAGTAATAGCAGCAGCTAGGAAATCAGAGGGATTCACAAGCTAACAATGTTAAATGTTGTCTTTGTTTGGGGGGGTAAGGGGAGAAGGGACCAAACCACAAATATGCAACTTTGCAGGATATTTTGGTTTTAGATGGTCCTTGCTATCAAGAGGTCTGTTACTGGACAGATTTTTCCTAAGCAGGTGGTTTTCTCTTAGGCCAAATTCTGTGATATACAGTGAGGAAACTGGCAGCTCTAGTTTCTGTCATGATCAGTAGGGCTACTAAGACGGTTAGGGGACTGGAGCATCTCTCCCGCGAGGAAAGGCTGAGACCTGGGGCTCTTTAGCCTGGACAAGAGAAGACTGAGAGGAGACCTTATCAACACTTACAAATATCTAAAGGGTGGGTGTCAAGAGGATGGGGCCAGGCTCTTTTCAGAGGTGTCCAATGACAGGACAAGGGGCACAGACCGGAGCACAGGATGTTCTGCCTCAACATGAGGAAAAACTTCTTTACGTTAAGGGTGACAGAGTTCTGGAACAGGCTGCCCAGGGAGGTTGTGGAGTCTCCTTCACTGGTTCAGAACCCATCTCAATGCAGTCCTGTGCAACTTGCTATAGGTGAACTTGCTCTAGCAGGGGATTGGACTAGATGATCTTCAGAACTCCTTTCCAACCCCTACGATTCTGTGATACAGCATGGCAGACTGGCAGCCTGTATTGGTATGCAGAGACTTGAGGTGGTGGTAGGGTTGAATTTTTCTTAAGAGGAATAATTAAAAATGAGAGAGTTATAATGTTCTAGTAGATAGTGAACATTTTGTATGTTATAATACTACTTTTGCCATAGGAGCTAAGCAGAGTACTAAAAGTAGGTACATTGCAACTACAATAAGCGGTTTCATGGAACTTTAAAGATGGTGAGGGGGAATGGCCTTTGTTTCAACTAGAGCAATGTCAATTCTGTAGAGGTGAACTGCATTCTTTACTCTTGGTAGAAAATGTTGTTATAAAAATGTATGCACTTACCTGATTTTTTTATTTCATGAGATTTTACTGAATTGACAAATGCAGCCTGAAAGAAATCCTGTGTGATAATGAATCTTGCTATTTGTTCCAGTTTAAAAACAAAAATAAAAACACAAAAAACCCAAAAATCTGTTTAGACATATGTGGTGGGTTGACCCTGGCTGGATGCCAGGTGTCCACCAAAGCTGCTCTCTCACTCCCCTCCTCAGCTGCACAGGAGAGAGAGAAAATATAATGACAGGCTGGTGGGTCGAGATAAAGACAGAGGGATCACTCAGCAATTACCATCATGGGCAAAACAGACTTGACTTGGGGAAATTCATTTAATTCATTACCAATGAAATCAGAGATGGGTAATGAGAAATAAAACCAAATCTTAAAACACCTTCCCCCACCCCTCCCTTCTTCCTGGGCTTAACTGTGTTCCTGATTTCTCTACGTCCTCCCCCTGAGCGCAAGGGGATGGAACAGGGTTGCAGTAAGTTCATCACATGTTGTCTCTGCTGCTCCTTCCTCCTCAGGGGCAGGACTCCTCACACTCTTCCCCTGCTCCAGCCTGGGGTCCCTCTCACAGGAGATGGTCCTCCACGAACTTCTCCAATGCGAGTCCTTCCCGTGGGCTGCAGTTCTTCATGAACTGCTCCAGTGTGGGTCCCTTCCATGGGGTGCAGTCCTTCAGGTAGAGACTGCTCCAGCGTGGGTCCCCCACAGGGTCACAAGTCCTGCCAGCAAACCCTCTCCAGTGTGGGCTCCTCTCTCTGTGGGTCCACAGGTCCTGCCAGGACCCTGCTCCAGAGCGGGCTTCCCACAGGGTCATAGTTCCCATGGCCTAAGAGAAAACTACCTGCTTAGGAAAAAATCTGTGCAGTAACTGATTCCCTTTGGGCATCCACCTGCTTCTGCATGAGGTCCTCCATGGGATGCAGACAGGCGTCTGTTCCACCATGGACCTCCATGGGCTGCAGGGGGACAGCCTGCCTCACCATGGTCTTCACCATGGGCTGCAGGGGAATCTCTGTTCTGGCACCTGGAGCATCTCCTCCCCCTCCTCCTTCATTGACTTTGGTGTATGCAGAGTTGTTTCTCTCACACGTTCTCACTCCTCTCTCTGGCTGCAATTGCTCTTACGGTGCAGTTGCCCTTATGTAGTAACTTTTTTTTGCTTTCTTAAATACGTTATCACAGAGGTGCCACCACTGTTGCTGATGGGATAGGCTTTGGCCAGTGGCGGGTCAGTCTCGAAGCTGTTTGATGTTGGCTGTATCTGACGTAGGGGAAGTTTCTAGCAGCTTCCTACAGAAGCCACCCCTGTGGCCCCCTCGCTACCAAAACATTGCCACGCAAGCCCAGTCCAACATTTTTTAAGTAACCAAAGGACAAATGCAGATCTGTTTGTAGTCTATTCTACATATAAATTACCATAGCTAAGAATCTAATCCAGGAGTATATTTCTCAGTTCTCTGAAGTTTCAGACATTATTTAGTGGATACTACAGAGGCTGTGTAAGCACTTTTTATTTTTTTGGTTGAAATAATCATTTAGATCCAAGAAAAATTAATAGAGCTATCCATTGAGTAGCTTTTCTAGATTAATCTAAAATACTTTATGCCTTACAAAATAAAATCCTGTAGTGTCCTCCTGTTTTCTGTCCTGTCACATGGACTAACAAGATCACCAGGTCTATATGGACAAACCACATTAATATATGTAGCAACCCTAGGGTCAAAAAGATATTTTGTATGGAATTCCCCTAAGCCATAAAACTCATTATTGCAGCAAACATGGATTAGTGTTAATTCTGTCAACTGTGCTGTCTTGATCATTAAAGTCTGTGGATCTTGTCCTTTAAAACAACAACACAAAAAACCCCTAAATTGGTACTGGATCCTAAACTGGTCAGAGATTTATCAAGTTACTCAGTAGGAACTGGCCTGAATTATTTCACAGTAGCCACCTGGATGTCTAGTTTGCCTTTTGACTGTGTATATAAGTAGACTACTTGGATGGAATAAGCATTTTTAAGATATTTGTTCGGTGTCACATTACTAGCTCCGAAGGTCCTCAGTGTCTCTTTTGTTTTCTTGCAGATGGTACAGCTGTAGAGGAAAGAAAGACTTGTCTTCACAATTTGCTTTACAGTATCTGAATAGTGAAAGCACAATGGACACTTTTTAGAGTTTTACAGAAATAAAAAATCATCTGGGAGCAAGAACATTGGACTTCAAGGAATAACAGGGTAAACTGGTAAACCCAATTTGGCCGTACAGCTTGAGAATGAATACCATTGAGACAGCAAAGCTTGAAGAGCACATGGAGGGTCAGAACAATGACACTTCTAATGGCTACTCGCGACCTACTCTCTCGGTCAGTGAAGAGAACAAAAATGGCACTAGCAAACCAAAGGGCTTGTCTAATGGCTTGCGAAAAACAACAAAGAAATATCCTGATTACATCCAGATTGCTATGCCTGCTGAGTCTAGGAACAAATTTCCTCTGGAATGGTGGAAAACAGGCATTGCCTTTGTCTATGCTCTCTTCAACTTGATTCTAACAACTGTCATGATCACTGTGGTCCATGAGAGAGTACCTCCAAAGGAGCTAAGCCCTCCCTTGCCTGACAAATTTTTTGATTACATTGATCGTGTGAAGTGGGCTTTTTCTGTATCAGAAATAAATGGAATGATACTAGTTGGATTATGGATATTGCAGTGGTTGTTTCTTAGATACAAGTAAGTAGCTATGTTTATTTTTTTTTTCTCTGCTGTATGTTTTCAGAACGTTGGTTTCCCTCTTTCACTTTGGGTAGAAGAAATCTTGCCATAGATCTGTAGCAATATTGTAGAATAGGGCTGAAAGGACAATGACAAAGGGATGACTTCTGTAGAAAATGTTCCAGTGTCCATGTTGGAGATGGAAGCACAGGTTTATTGTGATTATTCAGTAATGTTTTTTAAATCTGAATTTCTGACATTTACATGTTACTAGTAAAATTTATTCTGGGATTGGGCTTTTCAAAGTCTGTTTACTGTCGTGGCAATGTTTAAACAGGGGTAATCAAGATAATGTAAAAAAGCTCATTCAAATTTGAGGAGGAACCCACTGTCCTCTACAGCTAGAGTAGAAGCTTTTTGCTTTTTCTTCATTTGCTTAAACTAGACGTTTTTAAGTCAAGTGATTGGTTATAACATGGGGCTAAAAAGAGGTCACTGAGTCGAGGAGGACTATGCCTAAGTTGGTTAGATAGCTTTGGTGTGGGAGCTTTGCGGTGGTTACGTGCTGCTGTGAGCTAGCAAGACTGAAACCTGAAGAAAGAGTTTTTAATGTTTGATTTAGAGAAGTGTGCAGTGAAGAGCAGTGGGTGGACCTGCTCTTTTAATTCTAGGGATTTAGCTATCTAATAAAGCTGGAGATCCATAACTGTTACATGTGTATCCTGTGTGCGAACTTTGTATTCAATCTTCCCCCCTTTCCCTTCCTTTCAGATCAATAGTGGGACGCAGGTTCTTTTTTATAATAGGAACTTTGTACCTGTACCGCTGTATTACTATGTATGTTACCACCTTACCTGTGCCTGGAATGCATTTTCAGTGTGCGCCCAAGGTAAGCGCCTTTACTTCTTAATTCTTGCCTTAGTCTCTGCCTGAGTCCTTATGGCTCATTACAGCAAATGGAAAATAACATTCCAGGTGTTATTAAATAACACAAATTACTTTCAGTTGATGTCTTCGGAAACAGACATAGTGGTAAACCACAAGTTGTGTGATACAGAAAGAACCTCAAGCTGTTGCTGCCGTTAAGATGGGGAGAGTACCTATATTGAAATAGTGCTGCTGCCAAATCAGTAAACTTGCTTCTGAGGCTTAAGCTAATCACTCTAATACTGCAGCAATATTTTTTCTTACATGATGGGATACCTAAGTTCAATATTGTAATTCATAGGCTGATACGCAAGCTTGTATTGCAGTATCCTTTTAAAGAAACCTCAGTGTTATTGTATGCTTTGTCCTATTGCTCATGCTACTTTGTCAAGAGCTATCACAGTACCTGAAGTCAGCTGCCTGCCTCTGCTTCCAACCTGCAAAATGTATATAAATGACTAAAACAAGTTCAGCTGTTTAAATGAGCTGATACATACAGAAACATAGATGCTAATATTTCTACAAGAATACTTAACTACACTGACACAATTTTTTTTTTAAGTGGTGACACAAATTCTGTTACTGACATTTTACATTACTAATAAAAAGTTGTAGACATATAATTGTCTTGGAACAAACTGTGTTGGCTGCACTGAAAGAACAGCACACTTGAGAGAGTAAGAAGCAGTTTGGTTGTGCACTGAGAAGATAAGCATTTTGTAACCTAAAAATGTCAGTGTGCTTGGGGGATAGATCTGTCACTTGTTGGGTGGGATCTCGTCGGTCCTGACGTACAGTATGACATGTTTGTTCAGTCTTACTCTTTCACATTGGGACAATTTAGGAATATAATGGATGAACTATTTTTCTTACGAATTGGTATCTATTTGAAAAAGCTTTATTTGCACACCGCTATTTCAAAGACTCAACTGTTTCGTTCTACTAGCTTGGGGAATGACTTTGTGTAGTAGACTGTATTGAGGAGTGGGAAGAGGTAAGCAAAGGAAAATATCTGCTGAAATTGCATTTTGCTAGCGTTAAAACAGGGTGGATTACTTGAACTCTGAAAACCTTGACAGCACTTCTGGATTTCCTTTTTTGTCCGATGTAAATATTTTTCTGATTATGAAAAACTCATTTATCTTTCTGTCTTGTTTATTTTTTTCCCCTAGAGTTAATCTTTAAACAGCTAGGTGAAACGGAGTGTTTGCCTAGTATCTATGAGAAATCAAAAGCTGATTCTAATGCATGTTTTAAAAAAAAAAAAAAAAATACTCTAAATCTGAGTAAGCCCTGACAGATTTTGTAACCAAATCTAAGACTAAGTAAGTTTGAGGTTTTTGTCCTCTAGAAACGTTGCTCAGTTTTCAACAGAAGTGGAACGCAAGGTTGTACTATATTGGAACCAATTTTGAATCGATTTTATCCATGCTGTCAATGACTATCATGAGATACCTCACCTTTACCAATTTTAATGTTTACTGTTTCAGTATATTCTGCATCTCATTCTCATACAATGCATGTTTTAAAATAGCGTGGGACAGCATAGATAGAATGCTAGTGTTATCAAGCTGGTCTTTAGCACCCGTCAGCTTTGATACGCATGCTTACTTGTTTAAGAAATTTGCCAAAGAACATAAAGATGACTTGTGTCCGTTTCTCCCTGTCTCCCTGACTCCACGTATATTTGAACAAGAAGTTTATTCAAATCACTTATGGTGTGTCTTAAACTTTTTTGGTACTTTTTTTTTCATGGTGTTCTAGTTGAATGGAGATTCTCAGGCAAAGGTTCAGAGGATCCTGCGACTGATTTCTGGTGGTGGTCTGTCCATAACTGGATCACACATCCTGTGCGGAGACTTCCTGTTTAGTGGTCACACTGTGGTGTTAACGCTGATCTACCTGTTCATCAAAGAGTGTAAGTGAGGGTATTTCAATTCACTGTGCTTGTTCAAATTACATAATAAAAGTGCATGTTAAACTGTTGCCCTCAAAGTTACTAGGTGGCTGTACAGGCTGTATGTGTATGGGTTTGAGATACAAATCATGACTTTGAGTGAAAATGGAATGTGGGTGTAGTGAAAGTGATGTGGCCTTTAATTAAGGGCTTAATGTGACTAGACATGTCACTTCTGTCTTTTTATAAAGTGTTTACTGGTCGAATGAAGCAAGCTAGCTTTTCATTCTTCATTGACAGGTTACTCAAATTTTGTGTAAAATGTACTGTAGTTAATCATGCAGATTAACTCTGTGCAGGTTGGCTGCTGTACATTAGGCTTTAAGGAATTTGTGTGGCTTGAGCACAGCATCTGCGCGGTATATTAGTTACTGCAAACAACGAAGAGTCGATTCATGCTCCTTGGATGTCTTCTGCTAAAGACTCCTGCTTACACCTCTTGGAGTTGATAAGAATTTGGCAAGCACACAGAAGATGTAGTTGGGGTTATGATTTCCCCCTCTGCTTTATATTGCTATGGGGCATGGAGGGAAAATCTGTCTGAGCTACACACACGGCATCGATTGAAGCTTTGGAGAATTGAGCACCAGCTTCTAAATCTGATAGATGGTAAGCAATGCTTCTACCATGGGAACTTGGCCACTCACAAATGCGTAGTGGGGAGTTCCCTTTCCAGTTCACACGTCTGGAATTGGAATCTTCTCTCCTACTCTTGTGTCCCAAACTATGCAAATGCTAGCTTGGCTCATGGGAGTGTGTAATTCTCACTGAGACAGAAATAAGACTAGCCAGCATGAGTTGAATGCCTTCCTTTTATTAAAATGTTGAGGGAAGGAAGCATTGCAGTGCTACGTTCTTCCTTAAATGAAAAGCACAATGCAGAACTGCCTGTTTAATATGACAGACTTTAAATCTGCAGATACGAGACGTTCTTCTTCAAACAGTGATTTAAGATGCTGATTATAGTGGGCTGATTCTTAGGCCTAGGTCTTTCTTGTAGAGTGAACATTACTGAGCGAATGGTGTGTGCAACTTGTCAAAATTATCAGAACAGTATTAGGAAAATAGATTAGTATAGATCTAGGTCTGTTATTAACAAATAATGGATTTGTTGTTTGCCTTGTTTTGTGTATGTTATTGCAGCTTAATGCTGGTCACATACTCTCTAATATCTGTACTACCAGGAAAGATGGAGATAACACAGTATTTTCAGAGCTAGTAGAACTCACGTACTTTTATCTTAGGAGGTTGGAGGAATTGTATTGTACAAATTCTTGTAATAAGACCTTTGCTGCTTAATTGCTAAGCATATATTTCAGTGGAGTTGTGCTCTATAATGAGAAATGCATGGCTTTCCTTTTTCTGCCTTCCATATAATTAGTAAAATGTTATCTGAGCAAGGGCTTAAGCCCTGTAATTGCTCTGAATTAGAGATGGCTTATGGTGTTCTTTTCTGCTCTTTTCATGACACATCTTCAGTGCAACATACATTCTGAGGTTTTTATGGTTTCTGCCTTAGTGGATTTTTTGCTCTGTTCTTCTCTTCCTTTCATCCTTTGCTGCTTCACTTATCCCCACACACTCCAGCTTTTTTGCCCAGAATAGTTACTTACATTTTTAGCCTTGGTATGTCTGTCTTGCTTGGGGCTCTTTTCATCAACTTCTTGATGTGACTTGGTTCCTTATCTTTTTTAATTTTTCTTTTTAACCAGTAGATACAGATTTATCCACAATGTTTTCCAGTGAGCTAAGAGAATTTACTGTTTTGACACTTGCAGCAAAATTTAAGTCCTCGTACAGTAACTATTTTGCACAGGCCTCTCAAACTACTACTGGATAGGCTTGTTGAAATCAGTAACTTTTCTGCTGGTATTGTGTGAAAGTAGAGGCTGACTGTTGCCCCACAAGGAAAGGGGTGCCAAAACCTCCCACTGTGAGTGAAATGAAGCCAGTTAGCCTGTCAGAAGTTATGAATGGTTGTTGTGACACCCAAGGCATTTTTCAATGGGGAAAGAAGGGCAGGGGAACTTTTCCACTGAAGTGGCTTAAATTCATTTTGAAGAATAGCTTCACTCCCATTTGTTAATCTTTAATGAAAGGGTGTAAGTTCACGTTCTATACTTCCCCATACAGTGTATTCAGTTTCACAGAACAGAGGTTTCATGCAAAGTAGTTAAAACCTAGGAATTAAAATAAAGAGTGTCTCTTCCTGTTTAATCTGTGCTCAGGTTTTATCAGTTCTAGTCATTTTACTTGAGCATAGACTGTAAAAAGAACAGAGATTCAATACACCCAAGTAAAATAATCAAAGTTTGTCTTGCCTCAATTCTGTCTCTTCCCCTGCACCCCATGCCCTAAAAGTGATATAACTGGAAAACTTTATTGATTTGATTAAAACACACGTGACTGTGTTGCCTATCTCTTAACTGCAAGCTCATCTTGGGTTCATTTTACAAAGACCTCAGTAAGTTTGCATAATTCCGTAGTCTTGTTTTCGGTGTCAAAACAAGGTTCTTGTACCAGTATGGTTTAAATGAGTTATGTTCTGAAATTCAGAAGCCTCAATTAAATCATCTTTTTTATCTTTTCCCCTTCCCTTTGTGGATTGCTGTAATAACATATATGGCTTTTTTTGTGTGTTTTTTCCCATCACCTCCCTATTTCATAGATTCGCCACGTCATTTCTGGTGGTACCACTTAATCTGCTGGCTAATGAGTGCTGCTGGCATAATTTGTATCCTTGTTGCTCATGAACACTATACCGTAGACGTCATCATTGCTTACTATATCACCACACGGCTTTTCTGGTGGTACCACTCGATGGCTAATGAAAAGGTGAGTAGCAAATACCTTTTAGAATCAATGTATAGCCTGCAGTTGTTCATACTGCTCAAAGGCCAAAATTAGTTCTTAATTTTGAAATAAGAATGGAGGTTCCATGTTGAAGTTTAAATAAATTGCCTAATTAAATAAATTAGGCAAGAAGTTTCACTTTCCTGTGGTTTAAGTAAATACTTAATGGATTAAGATGTTCTTTTTTGGTCTGTCCCTGTTACTGAGTTAATTAAAATTTTATTTTTCATAAAGTTATTTTTGAAATTCCTGATATTTTGGCTTAAAAACATTTTTTTGAACTTCAAGGTTTTATTGGTGTAGTTGATGTATAGAATGGCCCTTGTTTGTCTAAGCTTATGAATAAACAGTATTTTATTACTGAAATTTCTGACCAAACTATATTACCAAGACTGTCCTAAAATTCCAGCGACCGTTATTCCATAAATGTCACTAAAACTGCATTGTTCAGAGGGTATCTGTGGCAGTTGTTTGAAGAACCCTTTCAAGTAGGAGCATAGCTCTCAAGCCATTTTAATCTAGTTTTCAACTAGTAGTCCTCAATGGAAACATGACATCCTTGAAGAGGCTTATGTTGAAAAAGACTGAAGTGCTTTGTCTCCCTAAATTTTGTACAGCAACAAAGCATCCCTTTGTGTTAAAGGTGGTCAGTTCATAGTATACATTTTGACGATGATGTATACACTATCTCAGTACTGTGTTTTTCTAGGCTAAATGTACCTCATCTTTGCAGAAATGCATGCAAATATATTGCATTTTTGTAGCTGTCTTGACTCAACACAATTGATTATAATGCTTTAAACTGATTGTCTGCTTCCTTTTCCTCTTTACCTGCGTGTGTCAGTACAGACTTTAAAGGTCTCTTCGCAGACAAATTTCCTCTCTCGAGCATGGTGGTATCCAATATTTTATTTCTTTGAGAAGAATGTGCAAGGCTCTGTTCCTTGTAGTTTTTCCTGGCCGATATCTTGGCCTCCCAGCTGCTTCAAATCTTCATGCAAAAAGTATTCACGGGTTCAGAAGACAGGAGAGGACAATGAAAAATCTACCTGAAGAAAAGAAGGAAAGCATCTGCTCTGGTTTTTTGTTGTGTTTTTTTTTTTCTTTTACCAAAACATAAATGCTGTAACCAAAGCTCTAAAGAGGACTACACTAACTGAAGAAGTGGACCAAGCTTCTGTGCAATTGATTGGAAAGACAATTGTAGCCACGCATATTGCCATTTCATATGTTTTCCTATCATCGGGCTGTACAGACCTATTCTACTCTTCAGTGCTAGTAGAATGCACCACTGATGGGATGTTTTTATTAAAGAAAAAATTGAGCAGGACTTTGCTTTACTAATGAGATAGAGGTGCCAAAGACCACATTAACACTTTCATTACTAACTGTCACTCATCCACAGAAGCACCCAAAAAAATCTCATCTTCAGAGTTTGGAGTGCGTAGGGGCAAAAACATGCTAAAATGCAAAGGCACGATGTCGGCATATTGAAGTATATTAAAAAAAAACAAACAAAAACAAACAAAAAAACAAAACACAATTGTGGGAAGTGGTTTGTTGTGTTATGCTTGCTAATGGAGGTAAGGCCTTTGTGTGACTGGTACAGCTGGACGTGAGTCTTGACTTTTTTACACCCTGTGGGTATGAATATCTTACAACCCTGAAATGCTACTTAACGCCATTATCTCCCATATGTTCTACTATATACCAATTTTTACATTTTTATTAGTAATTTTATATTTAAACTGTTGTGCTACCTGATAACTTTGCAGATTAGGAATAGCTGCTAACATCAGAGCTCAAGGAGCCTAACTTTTTATTTTTAAAAAAGGACAGTTTCAAAGTCTAACTCATCGCGGTTTGGCCTTGTGTATATAGCTATACAGTGCCTATCGGTATATGTACATGCATATACACACAAAAGCACACGCTGCTGTGTAGTAAAAACACATATTAAACAGAACTACTTACTAGGAAGAGTGATCATACAGTTCTTAATTTAGACAAAAGTCCTACAGATCTCACCTGCTTGAGGAATGCAAGGCCAGGTCTAAAATAGGGTTATCTTTAAAACAAACTTTTTAATTTTAGTAGCTATCTCTTGCTGAAAATATGTAGCAAGTTTGCTTGGGAGCCATAGTTCTGCATTTGATTTCTTTTTTTAGCTGTTGGTGCATGTTTCTTTGACTTACTGTAAAAAACCAAAACCAAACCAAAACAAACAAAAAAAACCCCACAAACCAAAAAAGTGCCGAGGTGCAAACCTACAACAGTAGCATTTCTTCAACTATTACCTAAAACCATTTTGCATTAGATGACACTGTGGTGGAACTCGCATGCAGATTCATTTTTTACCCAGCATTTCAGTCCAACTAAAATGGCTATCCCAGCAAGTTGGCTGAGAGTGTGGGAAATTAGTATGGCATAAGCATGTAACAAAACCACAGACTAACAGCTACCTGGTTCTTGTTGGTCTTTATTGTTTTGTATTGTTGGGAAAGCAAACTAGAAAATTAGCATACCGTGTTTAACCGTTTATGTTCTGTGTTAATTTCTGCAGTTCATTCAATTTTACTTTCAAATCTTCATTAAAACCTGATAGCAAAGATAAAACTGCATTGTGTTGAGGTGATGCTAATATAAAGGAAATGCTGCTTATTTTAAGAATGTCTGGAACTGAGTGGCAAGTGTGAACACAGTTTAAATAATGACAGCTTGTTTTTAAAAAGTCCAGTTTAAAAATGCAATACAGAGTATTCAAGTATCTTTTTTGCAGTTAAGGGGATCAATTGCTATGAGTTGTACACGAGAATATTATTGATGTGCATTTCAAATATTTTTGTGCATTATCAAAGTAATACAATAAACAATGTTCCTTACAATACATTCTTGGTAATATTTAGCTAAGAAAGAAATTCTGCTGATGTATGAGTTTGGGTTTTTTTTTTTAATTATTTAAAATAAGCTGCTTAGAATCTTATAACATGTCCCTGGAAGTGTTATGGACATACCTGTGTTTTCATTTGCTTGCTCCTGGCAGACCTTGAGCAGCTAAAATGCCGGTAGCAAAACACTTACATGAAAATCCTTTTTCTGTATCATATAAATGAATCTGTTCAATGTCAGTCTGTAAATCTCCCAAGATACTTGTTATATCAATACTACTTAATAGAGCATGATTTTTTTTGGAAGCTGAATTCTAAGCTTTATGATATCTTAAATACGGTCATGTTAAGCCACTTGTTTAATACTATCTTTTAGAAATCATGAATGAATTTCATTAATGGTAACCATGCCTGGAAAATAACATGATGAAAAGCGTTCCAGTAAGGAGCTTAAGCAGCGGTTTTCATTTGGTGGCTGAATAATAAGTACTTTAGTGGTCTAGATAGCTAATTGTCTGCATAACCACCACCATGTCTCAGTGGGATTTCTGTAATATATCTGCAAAGTAGAATCTCTTCATGCAGGCTGAGGTGTTTGGGTTTTTTATACTTCCTTCCTATTTCCGGAAGGAAACAATATGACAGTGATGAAATAGAACCAAGTAAAGATTATGCTTTTGTTGGGCAGTGTCAGCTTTCACTCTGCTGCTGAATTTGGTATAAACTTTATTGTAATACAAAAGGAAAGTTTAATGGCAGCCCTAGCTCAAAATACTTGATTCCTGTTCTGGCTCAGCCCTCCCTTAAGTGCTTAAATTTTCTCAAAGCCCTCAAAAGGCTGTGTGTCTTTAATTAGCAGAAAACTCCACTTCTCTACTCCCTGAATAGCTTTAAATTGCTTTTGCAAACTTGGATGGTATAGATGTATTTGAAGACTCTTCAGACCTATATTTAAGGTGATGAAATGGGGTAAGTAATGATACATGCTAGTGCTTACTACAGTACTGGTCTATCCAATACGAACCACAGGTGGTACGTAAAAATTATAAATTTTAAAACTTGGTGACTGTTGTATATAAATACTATGACGCTGAAAACATGGTTTCATCCAAAGAAGAAAAAGGATTGCTGTAAGTAAAAAGGAGAAACTTAGACTTCATTTAATGTGCTGATCACTTGATTGTAGGCTTATTTGGGCTGTATATGCCCAATGTTCTGCAGTATGTCACTGTAATGATTTTTCCCCTAGATTTACAATAATAATCTTTCTTACAGATGTCACATGAGCTGCACCTGTACTATGACTATAAATAAAATGCTCCTTCTCTCTACTGAAGAGCATTTACCTGTTGAACTTCCCAGACACACAAAAAAAAGGCACTACACTTGTACACGTGGCATATCCGTATGACTTCAATGCTATTGGGTGCTTTGAATTTATGAAACAGGCTTTCTGAAATGCTTAACCTAAATTTAAACCTGGATTTAAAAGGTGAAGTTGAGCTTTTAAAGAAAGGTGCTGTTACGTGGTCATGCTACAGATGCTTAACTCCAATGCCAGAAATTATTAACATATACTTGAAACTATAAATTGACGTTTTTATGGTACGTGTTTAGCACTCCCTTGTGGACATAAATGGTACTAAATATTAATCATTCTTCCTTGCGGCTTTCTCAGAAATATAACTACAGGTAGGCTAGTAGCAAAAACAGCTGTGCTAAAAATGTTGCTGTGAACTGTAGTACTGGATTTGCTTTCCTCCTTAAGGAAAAAAAGGGGGTGGGAGAGAAGGGAAAAAAGTCTGTATTTATCTGTTAAGATACACTGCCTTCATGTAATAGAGCAATAAAGCTCAGTAACAGAGAAGAACTGGGAACCATGTTAAGATATGAGAGAGAATTCTCTTAAGTAGATTATTGCAAATCCACTTGTCTGTATCTTAAATCAGAATCTGTTCAAACTCTGGCTTCCTCCCTTCATTAGTATCTGGATAGACAATTTATCCAAAGTTGTTTGCTACTAACCCAAATTACTTCTCATTTCAGTAGATATGACATAAGATTAACAGTTCTAGAGGCCAGATCCGTTAACTTCAGTGCAAGGTTAAGTTTCCATTTACTTTAAGTGAATTTCCCACAGCTTTTTTTTTTAAAAGTTGTTTTTTTTTAAAAAAAAAGCTGTCTTAAAGATTCATGGCGTAATTTTGAAACCGTATCCAGTCTGTCAGATGTAGTGGAACCATTTTTCCTTACTGGCAGACTTAACAGCTGTAATGGTTCATTGCCACCTTGATATTTTTACAGTATTTGTGTTTTGGACTTACCTAGAAAGTCGTCTGTAGGCACACAAAATTAGAGTGATACTGTAAGACTGAACACTTCTGAATTTGTGTTCTATACCAGGCATTGTAAAATCAATGTCTTAAATTCAGTTACTGAAAAAAAGGGGTCTTAAATACCTCTCTTGGACACTATTCAAATAAGTGTTGCTTCGTAAGGGCACATGAGAAAAATATCCTAGTGTGCCACTGAAGTAACTTTGCTTACGAGTTTGCTTTCATGTGCTACTTTATGATGCTGCCCAATGTACAAAAAAAAAATTGTGCTGAGAAACTGGGAATGAAGACAAGGCTTTTGTTCTAGTATTTGCAAGAAAAAGGAGGGATGCAGTAGATGGTGATCATATATTGCTTTTTTTACCTGAAATTAAGCTAAAATGGCACCAAACTTCTAATGTAGGATTAAATTGTTTATGTGTAATAGTGCTGAAAAACAGGCAGTATTAAGTACTTTATTCCACAGTACAGATGTGTGTCTATGCTGTAAACTGGGCTGGTTCTCATCCATAACTTAACAGCATGAAAATAAAACCCAACTCAGTGAGAGATGCTTGGAGATTTTAAAATATTTAAATATGATTAGCAAATCTTCACAAGCTGTTCCTCCAGGCTGTCACTAACAGTTTCTAAAACAAGAACAAAGTGCTGCAATGCTTAAAACGTACTAAAGCTTTTCTAGTTGGCTCAAGTTTCCATGGATTTAACCATTTGATTAAATTTTACTAACCTAGAAAGTAGCACGTAAGAATTTCAGTCTGGGTAAAAGTAACTTAATATTGTGGGAAAGTTCTAGTTCTGAACTCTTATTTTGGTAGATAATTTTTCCTAACAAAACACTTAGAATGCCTGAATGGTGTTTGAAGATGAAGTAACAATATTGTGCAGTCTCTAGCGTGTATCTAAAATACTGGTGTTGAGGATTCCTTCTCTCCTGGTAGAAATTAGTGCTTAAAAACTCAGGACTTCTTTTCAATGAGAATATTTTAATTCCTAAGGATTTGGAGTTTGGCAGATACTATGAGAAGTTCGTTTTGTGTGTCTGTTTGCTGTGGGCTAACCTTTAGCTTAAAGATGGAACCCAGGTAGGAGGAGAGGGCAAACCAGCT